TCTTTTCTGCCGTTTTGTTAATTACCTCGCAGCAAAGCTTGAATCGGCTCCATACAAAACTCGAAACCAACGCGCAGGCTAGGAAGAGCAGTCACACGCAGTTAAACGTAATCTTCCCGCCCCGGACCGGTACTATAGTACGCGGTGTAAACGCAGTAAGCAAGCGGTCTGGGGGGAAAAAAGTTCCTGTGAAAAAAGTTCCTGGGACAAATAGTTCCTGGTAATTGCGGTGGAAACGCGGCTTTTCAGAGAGATTGGGCCCTCTGGACTTGTGTGCCAGTGTGTGTTAACCTGAGGCCGGAAGCAAAGGCTCCTTGATGGTCAGTCCTGGTCAGAGACGTGGTTGCTCTCTCCGTCTGAACTTGTCCTAGGAGGTTACCTCCCCCTGACATGGTGACTCCACAGGTTGACCTTTCTCAAATTATTTGGTGGCATGGCTTTGTGGCTTACTTAGTTGGGGACACTTAACATTTGCTTAATTTACAGATGTAAAGCAAAATATTATTATTTTTGAGTCAGGCTTGTCTATCTTTCCCCATACCAATTAGGCAGTCAGCTTGCATTCTCTCTCCCTGTCTGTTACTGAGAGAGGAAACACTTAGTTATCAGGGAGTTGACCCATTTTATTACTGCTCTGCTCCTAAACTCGCTCTCCCGTAGCTAACTTCAGTCCACTTCCTTCTGCCACAGTTCTAAACTACCTTGGCAATTAGCTCATTTTAATACAATCACAGGAATTGGTGGGTTGGCATCAGGACTTAGATCGCTGTCATTTGCTAAGGATGGGTTTGTGTTTAAACAGCCAAGAGAGTGTGTTATTGCTGAGGCAGCAAAAGACCTTGCTAGGAATGATCCTGGTTTCTTGGACGATGCAGGTATGATTGTCTCAATGTGTTCAGTCTTTTTGCCTCTGCTTGGCTCAACACGGGGTGTGTTGTCGAGGTCAGTCTCTGCATTCTGCTTTGGTTGCAAGGCAAGTTCCTTGTTCTCTTAGGGCAGTTCACATCCCAGGAAGTCTGAATGAGGGGGGCAGACCTGCTGTCGAGGCATGGGGTGAGGCCCGGGAAGTGGAGGCTTCATTCATGTGGACCTGATGTGGCAGACATTCGGTTTTCTCTGACTCCTCCAGCACCACTGAGTCTAGATCAAGTTCTGTCTTGACAACTCTTGGAGTGTTTAATGGATATGGTAATGGATATGACAATGTTGATATGTTTGGTCTTGGCGGAATAGATCTGCTATGCTGCTGCTGATTTTATCGCTGTTGTAGGATATGGTTGTTGCCAATACATACATGACACGCTGCTGCTGTAAAATATAGCATACAAGAGTTACCCGTAGCAGGTCTATACAGGTGGAGCTGGGGAAGGTGGAGGGTAGGGATGCACCGATCTGATATTCAGGATCGGTATCGGCTCCAAAACAGCCCTTTTTGCCGGATCGTGTATCGATCAGTCGAGGCCGATCCAAATCCGATGTTGTGCGTATAGTATACTTTGTTATTGTTAAGCCCCACTAAAGGCACCGAAACATTCTTAAGTACCATAAAGTTTTCGTGCACTCTATTATAAGTGTTGTGAAGCCATTATGTGAGAAAGAAATTAATATTTAAGTAATTAAATTCAAGATCACGTAAACTTTTTTCCTCAGTTGCAGCTGTCAGTCATTCTCCATTCAGCGTTCAAACAGATCGGATCGGTATCGGTCGATACTCAGAATTTTTGGTATCGGATCGGATCAATTCTGGAAAAGATGGTATCAAAGCATCCCTAGTGGAGGGTTTCTGAAAGTTCGCTGGAACTCTAAGGCAAATGCTGCCCATGTATTTGAAGGTTGAGCACGTGAGCTCATTGGCTATTGATACAGTGGGAACTAGGGATGGGACGGTATGAAAATTTCATATCACGATTATAGTGTCCAAAATAATCGTGATTATCAATATTATCACGGTTTTGTTAAAAATTTATGAAAGTGCTCAAAAAGAACTGATGTTCACACTGAAAACATTTTAACAAGTTTTATAATTAAAAAAATCAACAAAAAACAAATAAAACAAGCCTCTCTATGCAGTTTTTTAAGCAAGATTCTATTCTATGGCATTTGCTTCTTTATAATGCCCGTCGTCAATAATAGCAACGCATTATTACACAGCGCACATCCATATCACAACGGACGCGCGCTCTTGTTTCATTCAAATACAACTTGCCGTCTTGCGTCTCCGGTTTTTGATTGTATTGCAAAAATGAAATCAGAGTTCATTTATTGTTTACAGAGTTTGATAATATTGGTGTGATATATCTTGTCTGGACGATTGTTTAACGAAATGAGTTCATAAACAGGTAAGATTTAAAACATTAGCTAATCTCATTATCAATTCAATATGTCCCCGTCATTATGTGGTAAAAATAAAATCGGTTTAATACGTGATGCATCTATACTTTACTATCCCTTAAAATATCACTTTTAATAATAGTCTTGTTTGAAGTTGTTAGTCTTTGGCTCAAATCCACTTGCTACGAACTTTTCTTCGCGGAAGCTTGACGTCTATTTCAAGTGAGTGACATAAAATGTCAAAAACTCAAAACAACATTTCGTGCCCAATTGTTTCCAAGACGTAGTTTTGGTATTGAGGTCAAAGTTAACTTGCCTTGCGTTCGGGTGATGATCACACAAGACGACTCGGCAGATTTGAAGTGTTTCTATTGCAGTGACTTTTTGTTCGGCAGACAGGGTGACCATCCTCGATCAAGTTTCCCTCAGGACTTTTGTAAAACCCAAAATATGACCACACCTCAAATTTGGTCTTCTTAAAAGGCTGAAAAACCTCCTGAGCACGGTCACTGCCTTCCGCCATTCCTCCTCGAATAGTAATTTAAAAAAATATTGCGTGCTGCGTGCCTGCGCCAGACTGGCCGACAGGATTCAGTGAGTTATTAAAATCGCGATAATCAAACACGGTTTTAATGATAATTAAATTTTAAACGATAATACTAACCGTCAGTACATTTTATCACGGTTTATAGTGAAACCGGTTATCGTCCCATCCCTAGTGGGAACCAATCAACTGTGCCCTACAGATAATAATGTGATTACGAGGAATTTAAGGTATAACCTACGCTATCTCACGACCAATTCGTACGAATTCGACGCATGATTACTAATTCGTACGAACTCACTCGTACGAATTTTTACGATTTGTCTAAACCCACGTGATGGTTAGGTTTAGGGGCGGGGTAAGGGGTAGGTCATTCGTACGAATTCACACGAATTGGCCAATTCATAAAATATGTACGATTTAGCAAAATCGTACTAATTCGTACGAGTGAGGTCTTTAGACACAAAATTAGACACTTTTTAATCATGCTTCGAATTCATACGATTTGGTCGTGAGATCGGGTTGGTTAGAACCTATTAGCCTGCGCCATCTAGACTTTTATGACCGAACTTTATATTTCACTGGCCTGTAGGTTCAGTGCTGGCTTTTCTACAGGAGCAAATGCATCTGCAGCTTTTATGAGCCAGCTAGTGCGGCTTAGCGTGTGTCGTTTACTGGTCTATGTCTGGGAAGACATTCCATGATGTTTTATGTGTGGGAATTTTCTGCCTGGTAAGCATTCTGTTTTGGGATATATCTGTGGTGTTGAAGGCTTTGACAAATCCTCCTTTTTACCCATTGGATTTAGCTTGAGATAAGCTTCTGACTTTAAGTATGTATTGCTATTGGCCTTGTCATCTCTTAAAAGGCTTGGAGATTTGCAGCCACTGTATGTCTTTTGTTTTTCCTTCAATTGTGCTATAAAAGAGCATCCTTGAATGAGCAGGGATCTAGCATGTTTATTTAAACTGCTCAGGAGTTTAAAATTACAATTTAAAATCTCATTAAAGACTCATGTTACAAGTAGGCTGCTTTCTAAAACCACTCTACATCTTGTTTTCTCAAACTTTATTGTAAAGTCAATCATTTGCACATTTTAGTTTAGATTGTGTAGAATTAATAAAGCATTTATAACGGGCTTTCAACATACAATCTGAACATAAATGGATGGGTCTGAAAACTTTATGAATACCCTGTATCTTCTGTAAGTGGTGATCGTAATACATTTGTAATTAATAATACATTATATTTAATTGCCCAGAATGCTCTAATTTACCGCAAAATCTCTTCAAAAAGGAGCTATACGAAGAATCCAAATTAATATTTTGTGGGTTCTGACCAATTTAGTTTGGTTATTGGTTACACTCATTAATATTTAAAATTAATTGAATTTAATAATGAATTAATAGTAAAAATGCAGTATTTATACATTCACATTATGCTATTATTTTATATTTTCAGAACAATAATTTAAAAAAAAAAATTTCTTTTAGTTCACTTTTAAAAAAAACTTTTGCTGATAATTTACTCACCCCCATGTCATCCAAGATGTCCATGTCTTTCTTTCTTCAGTCGAAAAGAAATTAAGGTTTTTGATTAAAACATTTTTTTTGATTAACCAGCATTTTTCTCCATATAATGCACTTCAGTGGGAACCAAAATGAACAAATCTTTTTCCGAGTCATTTGATTCATTCAACGAACGAAACGAACGAATTGGCTCAGAAAAAGATTCGTTCATTTTGATGAACGAGTTCGAACAGGAGAGTCACAAACCATCATTTAAAGCCCTTTGAGCCGTTTGGTTCCCATTGAAGTCCATTATATGGAGAAAATCCTGGAAGGTTTTCATCAAAAACCTTAATTTCTTTTCGACTGAAGAAAGAAAGACATGGGCATCTTGGATGACATGGGGGTGAGTAAATTATCAGCAAACGTTTTTTCAAAAGTGAACTATTTTAAATGAGTGGTTAAATTATTGTCCAGTATAAATTAAGATCCAAACCACAAGCGTGGACTAGCCGTGTGAAAGATAAATACCACAGATGTAACCTCAGTAATCCACATGCAACAGATGTTGAAATGTCCATGCTCTTATTTCAGTGTTTTTTTACTTTGTTCCGCAGGAATCACAACTGTGCTTACCATGACCACTTTGAGTACCATTGCTCGGAAGTCCTTACCCAAAGTGTCGTACGTCACAGCTATGGACCTCTTCGTGTCTGTGTGCTTCATCTTTGTTTTCGCCGCTCTAATTGAGTACGGAATGCTCCACTACTTTGTGAGCAACCGCAAGCCCAGCGCAAAAAAAGACAAGAAGAAGAAAAATCCCGTGAGTACACTTCCTAAAGCAATTCACATTATCACCTACAGTACAGCAATATTATAAAGTGTATTTACGACCAGTATTTTAGATTAACCTATTTGAGAACTGCAATTGTTAGTATTTTAGGGTCAAGGATTGAGTACGCCAAATAACCGCACTCTTCCACGAGTTAGTGAGCTGCTTAGACTGTGTAGGATTAAGGGACTTAAATGTGTATAACTAGTTTTATAGTGCAGTGTGAATTCCTTCAGTACTGTTTAAATAGAATCACATAGTTGGTTGGGAATATTGATTGTAAAGAGCTGGAGTCATAAGTCTCTGTTCCACTGTTGGGCCAAACAGGTTCGAATTATATTTCCACTTGAGCTTGGTTCAGATTCTCAGCACGGTTTTTGGTTTGCTTTTATTTACAGTATCCATAATTTACATCTCTAGGACTATACAATTTGGACTTGTAATGTAGTGGATTGTTATACAGTCTCTGTATAACCCATTACATCAAAATGACCTGCCATTGACATTAATTCATATTTTTAGGTTGTTAGTATTAACAGCGTTAACGCAAACCCATTTTAACGGCGTCAATTTTTTATCGCGCGATTAACGGTCTTTTTGTCCCAGCAAACTTTGTAGGTTTTTTTTTTTTTTTTTTTTTTGTAGATTTTGCAACAGGACGCGACATGCGTGGCGCTGCACTATAAAACCCATTCATTTCAATGGCTTGCGCCGTACGAGGAGGACGTTTTGTTGCTTCGTCAACCAAAGCGGATCTAGCTAGACCGGAAACCAGTGTTGTAGTCGAGACCACCTCACTCGAGTCCGAGTCGACACCGAGACCAGAGAGAGTCGAGTCCGAGTCAAGACCGAGTCCATAGAGAGTCGAGTCCGAGACCAGAGACGGTCGAGTCCGAGTCGAGACCGAGACCAGTGAGGGTTGATTACCTAATTTACTTTTATTTACTTAGAGAAATCCTTTTTTTTTTTTTTTTTTTTTACTGAATTTACTTAGAGTTTAAAAAATATGATCAGTTTAGGGTAAAAAGGCCACATAGTAGGTGGTGTTAAAAGTAATTTTATTACAATTTGTCATGCGCAGTTGCGCACTAGAAAATCACCAATCACTGGGCGTGTCAATCAATTTAAAGAAATATTTTATTAACATACATTAATAATCATGAAAAATATTTTTAATTGAACTCGGGTGGACTCGGGAATAATTCCGAGTCCTAAAAAAAAAAAAATGTTCGAGTACGAGTCAATTCCGAGTCCAACTGGACACGAGTTCATGACAAGACCAAGACCATTAAAATATGGTCTCGAGACCGAGTCCGAGTCTCGAGTACTACAACACTGCCGGAAACAAAACAACAGGCACGACGGCGCACACACTTGTTTGGACTTGTAGCCGGCCAGATAGTTGGTTAACGTTACGTTTTGAGTGGATGACGAGTGCGAGACGCCGAAATGGATGCCAATAAGATTCTGAATGGAAATTACTTTACTAAAAAGTTGCCAAATGGTTTAATTGACAAGACCAAAGTGATCTGTGTTTTGTCGTTGTGAACTGAGCTATCATCGTTCGTGACTCTTCTGTTCGAATTCATTCATCAAAATGAACGAATCTTTTTTTGAGTCAATTCGTTTGTTTCGTTTGTTGAATGAACCAAATGACACGAAAAAGATTCATTCATTTTGATAAACAAGTTCGAACAGGAGAGTCACAAACGCGCATCACAGAACAGAGCAAGGCGACCATTTGAGCTTATAAAACTTAAACTCTGTTATTTATGTATTAAATGAGCGATTGTTTCGCTTGATAAGACCCTTATTCATCGTCTGGAATCGTTTAAAACCCTTTGAACAGTTTGCACTGAAACTGTCTTTTGGACCTTGAACCGTTTGGTTACCAGTAAAGTGCATTATATGGAGAAAAATGCTGAAACGTTTTCATCAAAAACCTTAATTTCTTTTCGACTGAAGAAAGAATGACATGGATATCTTGGATGACATGGGGGTGAGTAAACTATCAGCAAAAGTTTTTTTTCTGAAAAGAGAACTACTCTTTTAACTACGACATTAATGCGATTAATCGCGATTAAATATTTTAATCGTTTGACAGCACTAGTTGTTAGTACACCATTTTTTAGAGTTCAAATAAATGATTCAATAGGCCTAGTTTCTTTCTTTTTCAACAACAAGGTGCATTATATAAACCAACCGGCTGGACCGGATCGGCATGGAATGGAACGGTTTGGCCTGACAGTGGACGGTTATATTCTTCTTGAGGACTCAAATGTTGAAAATAGAAATAATAACGTAATTGTGTCCAAACCTTTTACCGGAAAAGTATATTCTGTAGTTTTCTGAGAATTGATCAGATTGGAAACTAGTCCCGGCTGGTTAAAAAAAAAGACTGTTTATGTGTGCTGTGTATTGTAATCGATGTGTTGTTAAGACTTTATTGTTAACTCTGTAGGAATTAACTTTAAGTGCTAGATGAGTCTCTTTGTGTGAAGAAAGCCATTTGTGATGCACATAAGATCATTAGTTGCTGTCCAAAAGGTTTTGACATGCCTATATAGGTGATAGACAATGAGAAAGCTCACTAGGTTTTGGAACATAGCTATAGTGTGCACGCTAGAAACTTGCTCCAGATGTGGTCAGACTGTGTCGCTGAGCAGTGTTGTCCTTGATCCGAATCATTTCGGCAGCAGGTTTGGAGATTTTCATCTCAGCATGGTGCTCATTTCTGTAGCTTGAGGAGGGCTGATCTCAGAAAATGGGAAAATGGGGTCGTTCCACTTTCAGATGATTAAAGGGCTGCCAGAAATGTCTTATTTGATTTTGGGGTTTAAAATGCTAGGCGGATTTTCAAACCACATTCGACAGATTGGTTACCAGTCAAAGGCACACTCTGAAGAAAAACTGACAGGAAGTTTTTGCTGAAGAAGTGTTTTGATCTAAGCCGAGTTGGACGAGTGTCAGTCTCCTCCTCAGATGATTGTTGTTTGGTAATTAATGCCGATTTGCGATTTACTTTTATAAGAAATGTCTGTTTCCAAAGCTGTTAAATCTGATCGGATGAGCCATGTTCAAAACCATGTCAAATATACTGTATTTTTGATAGTATTTTAAATGAATCCTTGCACTTTGCAAATGTGTTCTCCTTTTTATTCTGTATTTTAACAACATGCAGTGAACGTGTGAAGATGTACTGCCTTGCACCCCTTCCTTCCTCTGTGTCTGTGTATATTTCAGAGTCTTCTTTATATTATATTGTATGTCTATTTTATGTTGTTGTTGTTGTTGGTTTGTTCGTGTTTGTTTTCTTCTTTTCAATTTCTAATTTTTTTTTGTTGTTTGTTTCCTGTGTGGACAAAAGCTCCTGCGGCTCTTTTCCTCAAAGGTATATTGCTCATGTAAACTTCACTAATCATGCATGTTTCTGCATTCTGCGCAACCACACTGCTCTTGTGTCCGGCCTTTAGATTCACTACACTAACATCTAGTAAGTTTAGTACTGAACCTCCTGTGATGTGAAAGGCAGTGGGACTCTTATTTTACATAAATAGAACAGCAATGGCTGAAATATTTGCATCTTTCATTTAATTAAAAACAGGCCGCCTTCTTCCCTCTCTCTCTGTGTGCTTGTATATGAGGCTTTAAACCTGACAGAAATAGTCAGCAGAGCCTTAACAGCTTGAAATAGACAACCACGCTGGTTACCTTAATCCCAATTAAAGAGCATAAGCTTGATGGCTTTGGCAGATTTAGCCATAGTAATCTTTTAAAAGTCAATGTGCATGGGGCACAGATCGATATTTGTAACTTACACTTAGTATTAGAAGAAAGTTTGCCAGAATTTGGAGGAAATTCAATTGTATCAGTGTGTAACCAGACTAAACCAGTGGTTCTCAACTGGGTTTTTCTTTTCAGGACCTAAATTTGACAATGGACAACAAACACTGGGTCTGATTCATAAGTAATTCAGCAGAAAGGACACACAGGACAATTCTTCCAAAAAATGTCAGCAGATTCACAACGTGTGCATACTAGGGGTTGAACGAAATAAAAAAAGTCCAATTTTAAGTGCTTGATATCAATATCAACTATTCAGGTGGTGTAAACAAATATAACTAGTGAAGCGCTTTCAGAGTATGCTTTTATTTGTCATTTTAACAAATGGTATATGAGCGTTAAAGTGGACTTTAAAGATGTATTATCCCCTATAGGACAGTATTAGTATTACAGTATTAGTATTGTTTTTGTACAGTCAGATTTGATCGTAATTTATCGAAATTCTTAACTCTGATCAGTTAGAAAAGATATAGTGCACTAAGTCAGGATGTCTTCTGCAAGGCGTCCATGTTGTTAATGTAAAAATAACGTGATCAGCGACTAGTCAACGTCAAACGACGTCAAGCTTGAAGTTTCATGGTAGAGAATTAAAATCAACATGATGACTAGTCTGAGCAACCCCTAGTTCATACACACAAGAATTTGATATTAACCTTACGGGTCGTACACAGCGGGACGAATATCGTTATTCGCCGATGTTTTTCGATGCGTTTTTTTGTGTTCACACCCAAGCGATTTTCGCTGACGATGAGCCGACTGAACATGCAAATTCATTCCCTGACATTAGACGACGCTCAATATAAAACAGAAATACTCCGGTACACAAGGTGGCGCTGCGCAACTTTACGCTTCTGACACTTGGTTGTCACTCAGAACAAGAGAGCAAGTATTTACGGTATTTACGCGTTTGTCAAAATCATAGTCGCTGTCACGTTTGTTATTTAGTTGTTTTTGTTCCGACACCAACGAGACCAGCAGATATACAGTACATTCATCTTGCCTTGCATCTTCCTCGTCTTATTTATTCTCAGCCGTGTAAACGCTACTTGGCATATATCTTCTTCGCCATACGTATGTGTGCTCGACAAGACCGTTTTGTATTTGAGCGCCCCCAAGTTGTGTTTTACTGTAACTTCAGAAGCTCCAAACACGTGAGCAAAAGCACCAATCTCATCGGTTGGATCGATTTTGAGGCGTTTTTTTCAGGCATTTTTAAAAAAATGACGCTTTTACGCGTGTCGTTTTTCGCATCGGTGTGCACACTCGCATTGGCGCCCTTTGTTAAGTCACAAGGCGTTTAACGTCGGCGAATATTGTACGCGAAATTCGTCCCAGTGTGAACAGGCCTTTATTTTATTGTTAATGAATTTGTAGTAGGCTATTCTAAATGACCCAAGGTTAGTAATTTGCATAAACGCACTCAAAGCATCTCCATATAAGGGCTTCCACACAAGCTTTTCTTTACAGCAGGGTGGACAAATTGTGTAACTCCAATTCTAATCAAACACACCTCAAAAATCTAAACAAAGTCTTCAGGATTACTTCAGGTAAGTATGTTTAAGTTTAGGGTTGGAGCTAATTCTGATTGTGTTTTATTTGGCTCATTTTTTGGGAATAAGCCAAATAATCTTGGGACTACTTACAACCTATTTTTGTGTCATAGCCAAGCCAACCAGTTGAGAACCACAGTTAGAAGAAAAGCACTTTGAAATAATCTCTCACACACACACACACACACCTGGACAGGCACTTCATCTTTGGTAGGTTGTCGTATTTCATCCAGTTAAAGCTGCCAATTCCACTGTATTTGTTTCTATTCGCTTGGCAGACCCTTTGTGCTCGTTGCTTTCCCACACGCTTCGGTGAAACCCTTTGAGAAGCGATTCACATGACCTCGTTTTAACACAGCCTCAGGTGGCTCTGTCCTAAAAGCTACACGATGAGCACTCGGAGAAGCCAGCGTGAACATCTGGTTGTGCTTCGTTTTTCAAAGGGATTTGAAGCAACCTTCCAAAGCTGGGCAAAATGATTGTGAGTCCAGAAATGTGGATATGTCCCAATGAGCCTGTTTCTCTTGGCTTTGTTGGGAAATATTGACAATCAGGTCTTGTAACATTTGTGTATCTCAAATGTATATTTAAACCGAAATATCAGTACTGTTGCTGGCAAAGATACAAGATTGAATGGATATTAATTATTTAGCTGTTCTGTTTGAAAAAGCCATGTATAGTCTTTGCTGTAGGAACATTTATCTTTTTATCCTGCATCGTTCTGATGACATTTTTGCCAAATAAATGATAAACTTATGTTTTATTATTTTCGCAGAGGACATAACCCAGATAGCAAACTGACATTGAATCAACGTGGAAATATGACATCGAAACAACGTTGATCTGACATTGTTTTGCTCATCGAATTAACGTTGAACCAACGTCAGTCGCGTCATTCTTTCCAAACTAACGGAAAATCAACTTGAAATCAACGCGTTGTTTCAACGTTATGAAAGCAAACCAATTTTCGATTTTCATTTAGCTTTGAAGAATGCCGCGTCTGACGTTGGTTCAACGTTAATTCGATGAGCAAATCAACGTTGTTTCAATGTCATGAGAGACGTCGTTTCCACGTTGATTCAATGTCAGTTTGCTGTCTGGGAAACTAGTGCAGTAGTTCCCAAACAGGGGTAGACGAGGAGGTGACAGAGCAAACAAAATGCTACACCACTTTAAAATAACATTAAAACCGAACATGTATTTGTAACAGGCAAAATGCTGGATCTAGTGTAAACGGGGAAACGGTAGTGCCGTTAAAGGTCGTCCAATCAAATTACCTCGTCTTTTGCGGTCAAAACTGAGTGCATCCACGCAAGCAATATGAATACAGGTGTGATAGATTGCATGTAGAGGATGCTGCCTTAAAAAAAAAAGCTCTTTATTACTGCCGTTCTCCAGAAAAAAAAGTGTGGTTTTAGCATTTACTTGCATAAAAACCAAATATAGAAACATTGAGTGCATAGAGGTCGATTCAAGACTCAAACTGTCTTTGATACAGAAACATACCTTGTGTGAGTTCTTGTTTTCATATATTATACAAGCAATAATGTAATTAGTTTCTAAAGAACTACACGATTATGCGCAAATGTGACTGATTTTATACAGCACTTCAACAAACAAAAATGTAATGTTAAGTGACATGCATATTTAACAGTATTTTCAATATTGTTTGTGCTATTTTTCTACAAAATAATAGTTTTAATGTGTGTCTTCAACGAACGAATATGCGGTTTTGAACAAATTGATCATCAATGATTTCATAGTTATGTTTCCACCCACCCATTTCTATGCGCATTTTGGGATAGTGCATCAAAAACGTCAAAAAGATGAACCTAAATTCTAAAAATGTGTATACAAAGTCGGATGAATTTTTTATCTGACAAGAAAACATGCGCGTAAACTACGATGGAAACAAATTTACCAAATAAATTCCATGATCCACATTAAAAAAAATTCATGTGACTTTCTAGACAGCAACATAGTGTCGGCGCAGATACGTCCCACATTTGGTGCGCGTTGAATCCACATGTGCCAGATGTGGCCCGGATCTGCGCCGACACTATGTTGTTGTCTGAGCGGGTTGGGACGACATGCGCGGTGGTCATTCTGAAATGTCTGGGTGTGATTCGGTATAATTACCTCCCAGAACGCTCTTACACGTTTATTGCATTTCATCTGCACGAGTCATTTATTATATCCGAAAATTATTATACAGTTGCTTCTCCTTCTTTTCTTAGTGATATTTTTGTTCTCTTCGACTCACTTGATGGAAACGGTGCTTTATTTGCAATTGTTTTTTGCGATATTCCAATTTTGCGCGCAAGTTAAATTCGCAACCGTGGATGGAAACGCAGCTAAACAGTCATTTGCTTTGTTACTGAATGAATGAACGACTCATTGACTCACCCAGTAAGACAGTGATTTACCGCCACCTACTGGCAGTTTTAGTTTAATATTTATGATCACCCCCCACCCCCCCTCCCCCACCCCTGGGCGTTTTGGGGGAAAAAAAAGGTTTCATGGCCCTCAAAATATTTAGTTTTATGAATCTCTATCACTTCGCTTGTTTCCGCGTCTTCTTTTCATAATCTTTCAGAAGATGAATAATGTAATAGCGCCACCTAGAGTATAACAGTGAAAACACGGGAAGCTGGAAATGTCCCAGATAGCACAAGTCTATTTGATGTGATGTTTACATCTGGAAAACGTATTCTTAAGAGTGTTTGCTCATCTGCAATACGTCTATGGGACGTTTCCTGTCAGATGTCAAATAGACGTGTAGAAGATGTCAGTTTAACATGCATTCTAAATCATTACATCTTGGAGACATCTTCTAAACGTCTATTTGACAACTGACAGGAAACGTCCTATAGATGTATTGTAGATGAGCAAACACTCTTAAAAATACGTCTTCCAGATGTAAACATCACATCAAATAGACTTGTGCTATCTGGGGTGCGACAAAGCCCTGTACATCACAGAGACGTCCATATGATGTGTGTGTTTACATCTGGAAGACGTATTTTTAAGAGTGTTTGCTCATCTGAATACGTCTATAGGATGTTTCCTGTCAGATGTCAAATAGACGTTTGCAAGATGTCTTTAAAATGTAATGGTTTAGATTGTATGTTAAACTGACATCTTAAAGATGTCTATCAGATGTTTAGCAGATGCTTGCAGACGTACGTGTATCTGGGTGGCGGGGGAAGCGTTGTCTCATAAATGACGGAAAATTGGATGGCTTTAGGGTGATACAAAAAAATTTCATTTGATTAAAACGATTTGATTGATTTACTTGAATGTGTTATTTTACTTATTATATTAATAATTAAATTAATGAAATATATTTAAAATTTGACATGACACATTAAATAGGGTCAGAAAAACGTTGCCTTTAGTTAAAGCAAAAATGTCTCCTGAAAATCAATTGAAGGGGTAAATATTGTCCCTCAATGGAAAATCGTCAAGAGTGGACAAGAGTATTTAAAAGGATGTTAAAGGGATAGTTCACTTTGAAATTAGTTTTTGGTACGTTTTAGCTTACATCAAGGGCATCCAAGATGTAGGTGTCTTTGTTTCCACAGCAGTTTCAATTTTGATATTTTTAGGTCAAACCGTTCTTGTCTGTCAGTCATATAATGGAGGTCTATGGTCACCACCTCAAAGAGCATGCACAGAGAAGTCCAAATGAAACATGATTTAATGACTCGTAATTGTAAGTACACATTGATGGCCTAAGACACGAAACGAGCGGTTTGTGTGAGAAAACGTACAGTATTTATATCGTTTTTACGTCGTTACCACAGCCACAAAGCGCCCTCGCCCTTAGATCACTTGTGGTTACAAGAGGTAAAAACAATATAAATACTGTTCGTTTTCTCTCACAAACTGCTCGTTTCATGTCTTAGGCCATCAACGTGTACTCACATTTACGAGTCATTAAATCATGACCATAGACCTGCATTATACTGTATGACTGACAAACAAGAACGGTTTGACCTAAAAATATCAAAATTGGAAATACTGCGTAAACAAAGACACCTACATCTCGGATGCCCTTGAGATAAGCTAAAACATACCAACAATTAATTTCAAAGTCAACTATCCCTTTAAATGCCTGCGGGGATACACCCCTCTAAAAAGTCTGGGAACCACTCCTAGTGTAATATAATAATTGAACAATATAAAAAAAAATTCAAAGACAGATAAAAGTACAATGAACAGCCATAATATTAATTTACTATTCATTCAAGTAGTTTCAAAGCCAAATATTGCAGATACACATCATAACAATTAGGGGCAAAGCACGTAAACGCAGACCCTGGCGGCTGGTGTGTTTGACGTGACCCGTGCTGATTGTGTTTTCTTCTAAAAGCAGGCCCCCACCGTGGACATCCGCCCGCGCTCAGCCACCGCCATCCAGATGAACAACGCCACCCACATGCAGGAGCGGGATGAGGAGTACGGCTACGAGTGTCTGGACGGGAAGGACTGCGCCAGCTTCTTCTGCTGCTTCGAGGACTGTCGCTCGGGAGCCTGGCGGCACGGCCGTTTGCACATCCGTGTCGCTAAGATAGACTCTTACGCCCGCATTTTCTTTCCCACTGCATTTGGTCTATTCAACGTAGTTTACTGGTTTTCCTATCTCTATCTTTAAAAAATACATATTCAGGCCTATATACAAAGGCTGGCCTTATTTTATGTTACAGATTCCAGCGAGACCCTTTCTTGGAAACGGGAACCTATTGAAAACATTTAGTTGCATTGTGTTGCTGTTGTTGTAGTTTTTCCCGTCTTATGTTATGTGCAATTTTTACTATTTATTTATTTATTTATTTATTCGTTTATTTTAAAGTTGTGCACTAATGTAATATGTGAATTGTTTGTCTATGTTTACACCTTTTTTTCTAGAAAGTATATCTTGTGCATAAAGCAAAAGTTGTAGCAACAAAAAAAAAACACACAAGCAGAAGGGGCAAAGATTATTCATTCAGAATCGGTTGGGCGAATGGCAGAACATACGAGTACTGCATGCCTACATGTTCTTTTAAGGCCCATCGAGAGCAAGCACTGAAGAGATTTTGAGAAACATCATCCAAATGCATGGCTGCCAGGCGTATATGAGGTAAAAGCAATCAAATATCAACGGATATGTCCTAGCATTTTATTATTTGTGCATTCTACAGATCAAATGTAAAAATGTAAGTGTTTAAAAGAGTTTTTCACGTGTGGTCGCGGCTGGTTAAACGTTTGGTCACCTGTACAGATGTTGTAAATAATGAATACTGTATAATGCATGCACCTTTTAGGCCACCTTAGCAAAAGTCTTTTATTATCATCAATTGATAAAAGGCACACAAAAAAAAGGTCAGGAAAGCTTAACTTCAACAGCTACATTTTACATCATTTATGGCCACTTCTAGATGTCTGTCATTTATAAATGCACAATTATATTGTTATATGTAAAAGTACAGTTTTGCATCCTTTTGGGTATCAGAATGAGCCTCCTGTCCGTCCTGGGATAGGTGTGGTGTATACCCACTAAATAAATATTAACCCAAAGTTAGTCCAGCTCATCTTTCAGTTGATGGGGTGAGTACTCTATAGTCTACTATAGTCATATTCTTCCCGCATTATGATTATTACTATTTTGTTGAGTTTACAAAAAAAAAAAAAAGTTTCCAAACACAAGTAACAGAATGTCGTCAAACAAACTGCAAAATGTCTACATGCTTTTTTTATTTTTGTTTTATCCATTAGTGCTGGGCAACGATTAATCGCGATTAATCGCATCCAAAATACAAGTTTGTGCTTACATAATACATGTGTGTGTACTGCATATAATTATTTTGTACATATAAATAAACACACATGCATGTATATACTATTTAAGAAATATGTGCATGTATTAATTGTATGTATATTTATACAAAATTTATATTATATTTAAATATTAATATTTTATATCTAATTAACAATTTTTTTCTTCAATATATACATGCATGTGTGTCTATTTATATATACAAAATAATTACACACACACATGTAAACACAAACTTTTATTTTGGATGCGATTAATCGCGATTAATCGTTGGCCAGCACTAATTAATTTATACTGTAAATGAATAAATTGGGCTTAAACATATATAGGATGACATTTCAGTTAACAAAAACAATTACTTCATAGATAATCTTGTTGTTTGATACGTTACTGTGTGTGTTATTTGTTGCAGTTAGCAAATGACATGCATGCATGTATTAAATAGTATCTTTATCACATGAACATGCATACATGGGAAACAAATAAATTACAGCATCATTAATAAAATGCAACATATGCAAGCACAACCCACTTTCTATTTTAATAAACCATTAAGTTCAGAAATCGTACCCCAGGGATACTATGCTTCTGAGTACATAAATATGTTTGCTCAAGTGTTATCACGAAAAGTAGAGGTATTATATTACAAAAACTGGGTAGGCTAATAACTAAATACTAGTTACCTTATGTTACCCAGTACTTTCTATAGTGAACTATACAAATGAACAAAACACACCAAAACAAATGCAACTAAAAACACTGTGCACTAAAATCTCAGAATTGCCAAAGTGTTGCGGCATAATCAGATCATTGACTGCTGCATTAAAAATTCATATTTTCTATTTCTTCCAAATGACTGAATGGGTGCAACTGTTCGGTAGCAAAAATGACAGATAAGCAAATATTTCTGGTTACATACAGTAAAACATCATTTGAAGTTTGAACCCTATTGCGTTAACCTTCCAGCTGAGCAAACCACCGGTTTTGTATATTTTGGATATATGCATCGTGATAGTTTTGCATTATACACGTGGGCATGTTTAATTTTTGATTCGTTTATACTCATTAAAATTAGGTGTCATATGAGTATCTTGAAAAATTTTCTATGAGAATATGAACATTATTATCAGCACAGAATCGGTTTTCTGTTCGTGTGCCGTCTATATCAGAAAATCGAATCACTTTGCTCCTAATATATCACCTAGCCGTGAGAAATGTGCCGTTGATTATTTCCTGTAGAATGGATGTGGTTATGTAAGAGTGGCTGTGGAACAGAGGTAGATGTGCTGTAGATAATACTGAAGGCATACTGCATAAAGCTTTATTGACGTTTATTTGTCAGAGCTCATGCGGTTAGGAACACCATGCATTACAGTTTGCTTCACACGTGTCGCTCTAGCGCTCATGCTTCTCCTGCAGACAACTACACGTGTCCGCGCAACAACTCCACGTCCTTATGTTATAATAGAGGGAGTTACATCACCCGTGAAGAGTAACCAAATTACATAAACACTAAATTATCATACACAAATAAATACCCCCCACTTAGAAAAAGAACTGTCCTCATTTCATAATCACATTTCAAAATGTCACAGAGTTAACAGGACATATTGGGATATAACATGCCATGACAGGCAAAAACAGTTTGTAACCATTGTACAAAATAAACATGTTTTCATCACCTGTGTGTTTTCGCTTTTTTTTTTTTTTTTCATAGCATAAAACCATCACACATTTTGTGCAGATAAAAAATACACCATGTTAAAATATGTGTTCTTACAGTGTAAAACCTTGAAACCAATCACAAAAGTGCAATATACACTCACCTAAAGGATTATTAGGAACACCTGTTCAATTTCTCATTAATGCAATTATCTAATCAACCAATCACATGGCAGTTGCTTCAATGCATTTAGGGGTGTGGTCCTGGTCAAGACAATCTCCTGAACTCCAAACTGAATGTCTGAATAGTCAAGAAAGGTGATTTAAGCAATTTTGAGCGTGGCATAGTTGTTGGTGTCTGAGTATTTCACAATCTGCTCAGTTACTGGGATTTTCACACACAACCATTTCTAGGGTTTACAAAGAATGGTGTAAAAAGGGAAAAACATCCAGTATGCGGCAGTCCTGTTGGCGAAAATGCCTTGTTGATGCGAGAGGTCAGAGAAGAATGGGCCGACTGATTCATGCTGATAGAAGAGCAACTTTGACTGAAATAACCACTCGTTACAACCGAGGTATGCAGCAAAGCATTTGTGAAGCCACAACACGCACAACCTTGAGGCTACAACAGCAGAAGACCCCACCGGGTACCACTCATCTACACTACAAATAGGAAAAAGAGGCGACAATTTGCAAGAGCTCACCAAAATTAAACAGTTGAAGACTGGAAAAATGTTGCCTGGTCTGATGAGTCTCGATTTCTGTTGAGACATTCAGATGGTAGAGTCAGAATTTGGCGTAAACAGAATGAGAACATGGATCCATCATGCCTTGTTACCACTGTGCAGGCTGGTGGTGGTGGTGTAATGGTGTGGGGGATGTTTTCTTGGCACACTTTAGGCCCCTTAGTGCCAATAGGGCATCGTTTAAATGCCACGGCCTACCTGAGCATTGTTTCTGACCATGTCCATCCCTTTATGGCCACCATGTACCCATCCTCTGATGGCTACTTCCAGCAGGATAATGCACCATGTCACAAAGCTCGAATCATTTCAAATTGGTTTCTAGAACATGACAATGAGTTCACTGAACTAAAATGGCCCCCACAGTCACCAGATCTCAACCCAATAGAGCATCTTTGGGATGTGGTGGAACGGGAGCTTCGTGCCCTGGATGCGCATCCCACAAATCTCCATCAACTGCAAGATGCTATCCTATCAATATGGCCCAACATTTCTAAAGAATGCTTTCAGCAGCTTGTTGAATCAATGCCACGTAGAATTAAGGCAGTTCTGAAGGCAAAAGGGGGTCAAACACAGTATTATTATGGTGTTCCTAATAATCCTTTAGGTGAGTGTATACAATTCATCAACACGAAAGCATTCTAGGTCATGTCCTGAACGAATTACTGCATCCTCAAATGCGTGCTCCCCCACTTCTGAGGAGGCCAAGTGTGAGAACGAGGAACCCGGGGGCCTATTCTTACAAACCTGCGGCCCTGATACTGGTCTCAACTCCTGGACACTTCTGTCTACATCTTAACCAGCACCTTGGGAAGTTAGTGCTGGTTCCTTCCACCTGGACCTGTAAGGCTTTAAGCGTTCATAACAACTTTAGGTTCTGCAAGTCTAATACACTGTATAAATGATACCCAGCATGTCCATAGTAACCACCCGACATAATCCTGTGCATTTTGGCTCAAGTTTCTTTCTTTGTGTTTGGATCTTTCATCCACATCAGGTCACCAACTTTGAAAGGCCCATATTATTAACTCTCTGGGGTCTGAGGGGGGGTTTGGGGCCCTGACGTTTAATCATAACAATGGCTAAAGTCTCATTGCAATGTATTCAGCACATAGTGTCCTACAATAATATATAAGCAGCATGTACAATTGTGTATTCTTGAGACAATTAAATTTATGTGTGGTTTTAAGTCACTTAAATAAGACCATAAAGCACGTACTGAACATTTGTTCACAGGATATTTAAATACTGTGCTGGAATAGAGTCTTCACTACAAAGTTATGTGAAAATCATAATTCACATTAATTCACATAAAACAATATAATGACTTACCCTTTGTGAGACTTTGTGTTAGAAAGGCTGTATACGAGGGAGTGGCAATGACCATGAATATTGATGCGTTTCACACACGGGAAGACAAACACACTCCCCTAATGGGCCAATCAAGATTAAAAGAATGGCTTTTTTGTTTGTTTGTAGTTTATTTACAACATAGTGCACAACATAATCAAAATATATATGAAGGTCAAAGACACATTATTGAGCACACTGATCTAAACAGACTTGAACAGTCACACTTTGTGCCATTCCTGAAAAAACACATTCTCATCCCAAGACGTCATCTAACTGACGCTTTTGACCATACGTCAACATCCAACGTTTTAGGGCACCATTTAACGTCAGTTAACTCCTGCCTCAGAGCAGGAGTGCTCAAAAGGTTCATATAAGTGTGGTGTAAGTTAACCTCGCTAAACACAGATTTTCTTACTCTTTCACTGTATGAAATATATTTAAGTTGTAATTAAATTCAAATTAAGTCTTCCTAGCCTTGTTTGTGGAGCAGACACACTGTCAGGCCCTGTTTACACGAGAAAGCTTGTGGGTGAAAACGTAAAAATATTTTATCGGATGTGCCTTTCGTTTACACAGCAACGGCGTTTTTGAGGCTCAAAAACGCAAAAAAGTGAAACCACCCTCCAGAGTGGAAATCTTAAAAACACTCCACGGTAAAACGGTAAACGGTAAAAACGCAAAAGTCTGCTTGACAGTGAAAGTTGTACGCAGGCGTGTGGACTTGGTGTTGTGTGCACTCCTAGCCGCCTGAAGGGTATACTACATTGAATTTCACACACTTTTACATCTCCATTTGCACGCGGATTTCCCACACAAAACGCTCGTCTAAACGCAGAATAAAAAAAGATGACGCAACGCCACTTTTGCGTTTTCTCTTCAGAATCGTTTCCGTGTAAACATAGCCTCAGTTTAAATGTAGACTGAAAACACATCTCTTTAACCGTTAAAGGATTGTTAAGGCCTGTTCACACCGGGACAAATTTCATGTGTGATATTCGCCGATGTTTAACGCCTCTTGACTTGGGCGCCAATGTGAGTGTGCACACCGACGCGAAAAACGTCATGCGTCAAAAACTATCCGGCCGATGAAATTGGCGC